ACTAGGTTCCCTTTTGAAAGCTTGTAAGCCAGTCACTTCTTGCCTTTGTAGTCCCCCCTCCCCATTTGAGTATCCAATGTCCCAGTTGCCCATTTCCATCCACTCTGTGTGTGGGAATGTTTTTTGCTGTAAGGATTTGTTCCTTCTTTTGAGTTGCTGCTCCATAGGTATAGGTCTAGTTCAACAGATTGTATCAGCTCAACTCTTTTTTTCTTCCCCTCTTCTTTCTTCTCCTGGATGAGCTCCAATCATCCAGTCATCCGGTCCAGGTCACGTGGGTATCATCTGCAACTGTGGGCGCTCCTGTGCTCATGTGGTGGCTCCGCTCCAATGTTTTAAGGAATAAAGTCCTCTGTGGCCACACCACTGACTCTGGGCCCAAGAGTCTCCAGGTCTCCTCACATTGCTTGCCAACAAGGTCCCCACTGGGTCCACAGAAGTCCACTGAACATTGTAGGGCTTAGCTTGCTGCTTCATTGCTGCTTTTACCCTCTTACCCCCATCGGTGACGTGTGTGGTCACCAGTCAGAGCGTGCATTTCTGTTGAGTCTTAGTCTTGGAAGGGGGTTTGTGTTGAGAGGACCTGGCCACTTGCCTTGATGTTTCCTAGGGTAGCATTTTGTTTGTTCTTGTAGTAACAGTCCATCTGCCTCCATTTTCCTGTAGGTCTTTCTTTCAAGAGGTATCTTTTATTCTTCTAGCTGCTCCAGGTTGGTCTGCTTATCCTTTCAAGTGGAGATTTCTCATCTCTGGAGATAATAGATCCGTTTTTGAAGATGTGTAGCCAGAGTGCTCCTTAAAGGCCAAGACAGCCAAACTTCGTCTCTCATACTATGGACATATTGTCAGGAGGGAACAGTCGCTGGAGAAGGATATCATGTTTGGCAAGATGGAAGGTCAGAGAAAAAGAGGAAGACCGCCAACGAGATGGATTGGTCAGATGGCAGCATCGATGGACTCAAGTGTGGCAACAGTAGTGAGGTTGGCCCTGGATCGGACATAGTTTCGTTCTGCTATGCATAAAGGTCGCTATGAGTTGGTGCTGACTCGATGGCACCTAACAACAACATGAATATCATGTAGTTTGAACTGGCTATAATAAATAATGAAGGGATGAATTTTAAAAACATAGCATTCATTTCTTCATTTTGGATGGAAGTTGAAAATGAATATTCTAAGGTACTGAAATGGCTTTAACGTATCTTTTCACTTCCACCAGTAAAACTCAGTTGAGTTATTTATATCAATTTTAGTACTGTTACTGAAATAAAACATGAAGCAGTTTCACTCCCCCTTGAGTGTGGATTATATAATCAATCTAAACTATACTGAAGACGTTATTAAGAACCAGGCTTACTGGTCACATTCAAAACCTGAAATATTGTAGTATACAGTGTATGTTCTAAGGATGCATCACTCATTTAATATAGAGAACTGTTTTATTAACTTATAAACTTGTTAAAGTTAAAATAACAAATACTCATATAAACATACTTATAATTCTTCATATTATAATCCAATGTTTTAAGGAATAAATACAAAGCTGTATAGCTTTGGTAATTCTCATTTTCCCCTTGCTGTACAAGGGAACTTCAAAAAGTTGGTAGAACAATTTCATTACCTTTTAAATACATTTTCTCACAAACTTCTTGTAGTAGTTCCCTCATATTTGTTATGGTTATATTTATTGAAATGCAATCTTACAACAGAATGAACACAACAGTAAAAAATATTGGCATGTTTTCCCCTTTCTAGCTATATAGTCTCATTATTTTATAAAATTTTTATGACTATATATAAAAAAAGATGATGATAATGGAAGGAATACAACAGAATCATTGTTCCAAAAAGAAATGTTCAATGTGCTATAATTTTAAAAGGTAGCATATGATCAAGAGCCAATGATCCTAAAGGAAGAAATCCAAGGTGCACTGAAGGCACTGACAAAGAACAAGGCTCTAGGAACTGATTAAATACAAACTGAAATCTTTCAACAAACTGATGAATCACTGGAGGCACTCACTCATCTATATCAAGAAATTTGGAAGACAGCTTCCTGGACAACTGATTGTAAGAGATCGATATTTGTGCCCATTAAAAAGAGAGGTGGCCCAACAGAATGTGGAAATCACTGGACAATTATCAATGTCCACATGCTAAAGATAAATTTCAACACTGCTAAAGATAATTCAAACACAGCTGCAACAAACAGTACACGACAAGGAACTGTAAGAGGCTCCGGTCAGATTCAGACAAGGACGTGAAGTGAGGGATATCACTGCTGACTTCAGGTGGATCTTGGCTGAAAGCAGAGAATACCAGAAAAATGTTTACTGTGCTTTACTGACTATGAAAAGGTTTTTGATAGGAGGATCACAACAAGCTATGGACAACATCGTGGAGACTGAGCATTCCAAAACACTTAATTGTGCTCATGATGAACCTTTATACAGAATAAGAGGCAGTTGCTTAAACAGAACAAGGAACCAACAAACAGTTTAAAAGTAGGGACGGTGTATGACAGGGTTGTATTCTTTCACCATACTCCTTCAATCTGTATGCTCAACAAGTAATTCAAAAAGCTGGATTATATGGGTTGCTTCTCAATGTAAAAACAAAAATCCTCACTACTGGATCAGTAAATAACATTGAGATAAATGGAGAAAAGAATGAAATTAATTATCAAAGACTTCATTTTGCTCAGATCAACCATCAACACTTACGGTAGCAATCGTTAAGAAATCAACTAACATATTTTATTAGGCAAATCTGGTGCACAAGACCTATTTAAAGTGTTCAAGAGCAAAGATGTCAGTTTGAGGACTAAAGTGTGTGTGATCCAAGCCATGGTATTTTCAATAACCTCATACATTTATGTGAAAATTGGACAATAAATAAAGAAGACCATAGAATAATTGATGGATTTGAGTTATGGTATTGGAGGAAACTATTAAAAAGTACCATGGACTGTTCTAGAAGAACAAACAAATCTATATTGGAAGAAGTACAGCCAGAACAATCCTTAGAAGTTAAGGTGGCCAGATGTTATCTTTCATACTTTGGACATAGTATCAGGAAAGACCTGGTTCCTGGATATGGGCATTATGACTGGTTAAGTGGAAGGTCAGCAAAAGAGAGGACAAGCCCGATGACGAGATGAATTAGTAGTGCCAGCAGCAAATGGGCTCACGTGTAGCAATGACTGTGAGGCTGGCGCACCAGGCAGTGTTTCCTTCTGTTGTGCACAGAGTCGCTGAGGCAGTACAGCACCTATCAACAATGAATGGACCACACGGAGTTAAGGAGTTGCTCAGCCCTAAGAGAGGTGGATGAAACTTACCGTGCTCATTATGCTCTGGCCCCCACCTACAGAAGCAGTAGCACTCTGTCCCGGGGTCGGCAAGAGGACAAGCCTTGTCAGCCTCTCTCTCACACCTGCCGGTTAATCATTTGCCAGCTGGCAAGAGAATCTCGAGCCAGGGAGATTTTCCGTATCTTCAGATCCTGCAAAACAAAGAGACGGAGCTGACAGGCGCTGCCACTCACATCAGAAACAAAGCTGAGCTCCCTAACGTACTGAGCCCTTTTCTGTAAACCTGCTGCCTGGCTGTAATGAGTATGTCCTTTATTCCACTTAATCCCACATTCTTGTTAACTGACCCCAAAGCCATTAGGCTACCTCCTGTCCTCCCTTCTGGCTGGTGACACCTGGCTGAGGATTACACGAGAGGCACATAATGAAGGTCAGCTCAGTCCTCACATATCCCTGTATCACCTCCTCCCAGGAGACACCCAAGCCAGCACAGAATCCAGAGCCTCTGTCCCACCTGGAGGAGGCGACAATTTAGGTGATGACATGATAGTGACCTACCCTAATTCACCATGTGCACCCAGGTGGCTGTAGTGTCAGTGAAGAGGCCCTTGGGTTTCATTCAGGGGTACTGACCACGGTGAATTCCTTCTCAGGAACTTGGGAAAAATGAGAAGTAAAAAATATGGAGCCTAGAACCAGGTAGCAGCAGGGTGTAACCAGGCAGAAGGCATAAAGACTGTATTAGAACAAGGAGCCCTGAGCGTGGGCAGAGCTAGGGGCCACTGGCAGTTTTAATGAGGGGACTCTGGCTAGGACAGGACTGTCCACGTGGCTTAATTGGGAGGTACCCCAGCATCCGCACACAGGACTTACAACTCCATTTAGACCCCATTCATGAGCTTATGCCTCCCATCCCAAGAGGTGTCTTGTCCTGAGTGCGCACTTCTGGTGTAGTTATCTTTAGTGGACAGTGAGAAAATTCTGATTAAAATATCATTTAGTAAGAAGAGTACAGCACCTGCCAGGCCTGACCAGAACTCACCCTGTGCCCCAGTTTCATCCAATCAGTAGAGCCATACATAGGGAGGACAACACTAGCGAGGTGTGCTCACCTTGAACCCGTCAACCACTCAAGATGAACGGGGCAGCACTTCCCCAAGGACAAAGTTGAGAAGGAGCCAGAAGGAGGGACCAACCAAAAGGTACATAGCACAAGCCTGTCCCCCAGTAGTCAGCACACAGCCCCTCTCCCTCTCTGGGTCTAGAGCCCCAGCTGCTCCATCACTCCACATCATCGTCTCTGCCTCCATCTCTGGTGTCACTGTTTCTCTGGGTAGGGTTCCGTACTTTGCTCTTCTTCTCTCTTGATGGTCCCAGGGACCTCCCCCCCTCCTAGACTGCAAAGTCAACCACTCCCCTCCTTTTGCTACAAAACGTCTACCTTTGCATTTCCAACCCTCACAGGCAGTCCTGCTAAGAATTATTCACTATTGTACCACAAGAGACCTATCCGCATTTCCTTTCATCAGCCCCGCCCAGACAGATTGGATACTACTCAGTGGAGATTCTACCTTCCTCCACACCCTGTGGATCTAGGTTCCCTCTTGAGAGCTTGTAAGCCAGTCACTTCTTGCCTTTGTAGCCCCCCCTATTTTGGATAGCCAATGTTCAAGTTGCCCATCCCTGTCTACTCTGTGTATGGAGTGGGTGGGAATGATCCTTGCAGTAAAGATTTGTTGCCTCTTTTGAGCTACTGCATCCATAGGTATAGGTCAAGTTCATCAAATTACCCTTTTTTTTTTTTTAAAGTTTTATTGTGAATTATGTGATAGTTTACATGGGAGAACATTAGTTTTACATTCATCCTATCATATATCGCTTCATTGCCATGGTTCTAATTCCCTCCATGCATCATCAACCAAAGGGTATAGCCTACAAGTCTGACTACACCCCACCACCCCCCGTTAGTCCACACACAGCCCCTCTCCCTCTCTGGGTCTAAAGTCCCCAGCTGCTCCATCTCTCCTCGTCGTCATCAACATCATCATCATCTCTGTCTCCATCTCTGGCGCTCTGGCGTCACTGCTTCTCTGGGTAGGGTCCTGCTTTCTGCCCTTCTCCCTTGATGGTTCCAGGGGCCTCACTCCCCTCTTTGCTACAAAACGTCTACCTTTACATTTCCAACCCTCACAATCTGTCCTGATGACAATTATTCACTATTGTATCACAAGAGACCTATCTGCATTTCCTTTCATCAGCCCCACCTAGACAGATTAGATACTACTCAGTGGAAATCTTCCTCCCTCCACGCCCTCTGCATCTAGGTTCCCTCTTGAAAGCTTGTAAGCCAGTCACTTCTTGTCTTTGTAGCACCCACACACACACTTTGTGCAGCTGATGTCTAAGTTGCCCATCCCTGTCCACTCGGAGTATGGAGGGGTTGGGAATGATCCTTGCTGTAAAGACTTGTTCCCTCTTTTGAGTTACTGCATCCATAGATGTAGGTCAAGTTCATCAAATTGTATCAGATTACTCTTTTTTCCCTCTTCTTCTAGTTGAGCACTGAACATCCAGCCATTGAAGTCACATCAAGTGGGTATTATCTGCAAGTGTGGGTGTTCTTGTGCATATGCCCTGTCTTATCAGCTGGATGCTTCACTCTCTACTCTAGCCCTCTGTGGCTATGTCACTGACTCTGGGCCCAAGAATCCCCAGGTCTTGCCACACTGCTGGCCAACCAGGTCTCCACACGGTTCACAGGAGTCTATTGAACGTTATAGGGCTTAGCTCGCAGCTTCACTGCTGTTTTTCCCTCACTTCCCATTATCGGTGACGTGCATGGTCACCAATCAGAGTGTGTATTTCCACTGAGTTTTAGGCTTGGAATGGGGTTTGCCCTGAGGGGACCTGACCACTTGCCTTGATGTCTCCTGGGCGAGCAACTTGCTTGTTCTTGTAGTAATCACTCAGACTGCCTATATTGTTTTGCATTTTTCCTGTGTGTTTCTTTCAAGAAGTATCTTCTGTTCTTCTAGCCTCTCCAGGCTGGTCTGCTTGTCCTTTCAAGTGGAAATTTCCCACCTTAGAAAATTGTGGATGGGGTTCAGGATTCCATCTATGGTCTTATGCAATGTAGAGGCTCCACAAGAAGCCTCCTTCACTGAGCACACTGTAGCCCCATTTTAGGTATTCTAATCACTTAGATGGCACTTAACAATAACAATCAGTTATAAGGAGTCCTGGTGTGGCGCTGTGGGTTAATGCGCTGGACTACAAAGTTGGTTTGAACCACAAGGTCGGTGGTTCAAGCTCATCAGTTGCTCTTTGGAAGCCCTGTGCGGGGTCGCTATGTATCAGGACTGACTCGACGGTCCTTAACAACAATAACAATCAGTCATAGGCAGAAGACAGACTTACAAAGCTTTCTACGGTGATATTTTTGGCTATTCCTTTCTCTCTGCCTCATGTCTATTTTATAAATGGCATGCCAGGGAAACCAAGATTCAAAAGACAGCCAAGCATCTTAACATTATTTCCTCCCTTTCTTCCATTCCAACCATGTCTCAATCCTTGTATCCCAGAGCCCTGTTGTTTCAAGGTTGTGCATACATCATTAATTACCTCTGTCCCACTTAGTCCATGCATACCTGCCTAACTGTTTTCCCATCCACCTTGTTCTTCCACTTCCCTCCCCCTTCTGTATTGCCCCCTCCCCAGCACCCAAACTATCCTGTGTCTATTCCCTGCCCTGTGTTCCACCTTTCACTCGCTCCCCTCACTCCACCCCCCACATTCCAGTAACCAGAAAAGAATGACAGTTTTTGTTTTTAAAGAGGGTATACAAATAACCTCAAAAACATGTACAAGAATCAGGATCATCAAATACATGTGCAAGAAGTAAAAACTGATTATGTGCCAGACTTTCAAATTCTCAAAGCAGCCATACCACTCACTGTACCTTCCCACTTGGACTCGGCAATTCTCTGCAAGGTCTCACAAAAACAACTGTACTGGAGAGATTTAAATGGTGTATTAGGGAACAGGGTACAACTTGGGATCAGGAAGAGCAGGTTCCATAAGCAAAGTCTCCCTTCTTCTGAAAAGGGTAGCTCTCTCAGCTACTCTGGGCCCTGCTGCCTGTCACCTGCCCAAACTCTAGCTGTCTTCATCGACCCGTGTTGAAGCTCCTTGAGGAAGTTACTAACTACTAACCTCCCCTTCTCTTCATCTGTGGGACCGTTTATATGCATACCCCTCCTCTGACAAAAGCAAGGGCACAAACTGACCAGTTCCCTCTGGGAAGGCCACAAACATTTTCTTTGTGCACTCCATTGGGGGGATCACTGCAATGAGCATATCGATTGCAGAGCTGTAAGAAGGGATCTGACCTCTTCTGACTTCACACAAGGGAGGGAGGGAGCAGAATCAGCATCGGTTCAGGCAGAGTCAGACACACTTCACCCTCTTTCTTCCTACCTCATCAATTCTGACACCAGTCGTTCTGCCCAGGGCTTTCTACTTCCTTGCTGGGTTCCAGAATTCATTGCAATGGCCACAGAGAAATCAGAGACAATACTCACAACTATAGAGTTTTATTAGGGAAGTTAACAGGTCAGAAATGCTCAGGGGACAGTCAGGGCAGCCTCTCCTAGCCGTGCCTGCAGGCAGATATCTCTCTGGCCCTCTGTCCTGCTTGGGCAATGTTACAATGTTCTTTGAGGGTTACTGACAAATAGCCAAGGGAATCTCTGCTGCTTTACTTGCTCCGTGTGCTGGAAGTCCATTCTCATGCTCTAGCTCTTAGTTCTGCTGCTACTCTGGTACCACAGCTTTCTGTCCCTGGATCGAGGAGCTTCCCTTGCACAGGTATTTCTGGGTCCAAAGGATGTGCTCCTCCTAGATTCCTGCCAATCAATACACCTCAAATGTAGCCTCCAACCTCAGTGGAGGATTCTCTGGAGAGCACCATGGACTGTCAGAAGAACAAAATCTGTATGGGTAGGACAGCCAGAATGCTCCTTTGAAGCCAGGATGGC